ACACACACACACACACACACACACACACACACACACACACACACACACAAATATCCAAGAACATCAACGACATATAATTCAGTGCTAGAGTAACTGTTACAGACATTAGGCGATCAGAGGAATCCCAAGGAGGGAGGGAGATACTATCTCCATTAACCTATAGACTCCACAAGGGCAAGGATTACTTTTCAACCCTGAAGTGCTCACCACTGTACAAACACCACCACACACACTATCCAACTCATGGCTCTTCCCATAGGAGGCACTCAAACACAGCTAAAGGAAGGAGGGTCATCCATGAGGAAAGAGCCCTGCTTCGCTCTGGATTCTTTTGCTCTATGAGTGTTTTCTGTCTTATTATTTCCCCAGCTATTTTAGTCATACACTTAGGGGTAGGAAATATGGATTACCACAGCATGGACCTTCCTGTGGACATCTCCTAGCAGGGTTTCCCAAAACTTCCTAGCCCCTTCCAGATTTGGCTGTGTTTGTTGTTGTTGTTTGTTTTAAAGAGGAAAAGAAACTTTGGCATTTCTTTTCTAATCCCTTTAGTTTGTATTAGACTCCAACTGAAAGCCATTTCTGTACTTAGTTCCACCCACAGTGGTCACCATTAGAATGCTTGAGTAGATTCTCACTTGCCTAAAGGCTTCAATAATCAAATTTTCCTTCCTATAGCCTAGAATTACCTGGGAGCTTGAAGCACGTACTTCCATTCTCATGTTCCAAAAGGATACAATGATGTTCCAGGGTCCAAGTCGAAGCCAGTTTGGCCAAAATCCTTTATAGAGTGCAAAAAAGCCCTCATGTTTCCACATCTGACGGAAAGATATAATAAAAAAATGAGTGAATTCTCCTTACACTTTACATCTGACAATTATTTTTATTTTAGTACTCATCTTCCATGCCCCTCCCCAACAACTTAGGATCCATGAATGGTCCTTTTTCTAAAGACATACATTTTGTGTTCTAAATCCACCCACCCACTCATTCAACAAATATTTACTAAGGACCTACAATATGCAAAGTACTCTTCTCCATGTTGGGATAATAGTAATAATAGTAAACGAGAGAAAGTGTCTGTGTTAGCCAGCCTCCAAGATGGCCCCCGATGAAAGCCAACTCCAGTTATTCACACCCTTGTGTAGTCCCTCCCACAACATATCAGGATTGGTCTGTGTCACCAATAGAGTATGGCAGTAGTGAACGTACGCCACCGCCAATGCTATGCTATAAAAGACGTTTTGTATATAATAAGGTTTTGCCTTGTTCTGTCTTTGATCGTTTACTCTGGAGGAAGCCAGCTGCCATGTCATGAAGAGAAGCCCATGTGGTGAGAGACTAAGCCCTCCAGCCAATAGCCAGAGAGGAACAAAGCCTTCCTGCTGACAACTACATGAGTGATCCTTGAAGCAGACGTCCCAGCCCCAGTCAAGCCTTCAGATGATTTCAACCCTAGCTGACATCTGGACTATTACCTCATGAGAGAGCCTAAGCTGAAATCATTCAGCTAAGCTGCCTCTGAATTCCTAACCCACAGAAACTGTGACACAATAAATGCATGTTGTATTAAGGCACTGAGTTTTGGAGTAATTTGTTACACAGCCACAGATAACATACATTCCCTGCCCTCATGGAGTGCATACTCTAGTGGAGCTGACAAACGAATACATAAATTGATATATATTATATTCACAAATAATAAGTACTAATAAGACAACTAAAGCAGAGTAGGGGAAGAGGAGTTGGGCAAGTCACTGTCCTTCTCTGAATCTGTTTCATCACTGTAAATTCTGTGTATGTAATGCCATGGATGACCTCATGGGAATGACCAGAGGATTAGATGAGGAATAGTGTAAAATGCTTTGAGTTTAAGTTTTCTGTTTTATACACTGTAGGTCCTACATACACCAACTGAGTGGTTATTAGAATTAAATGACACAGAGATTGGCTCAAGATGGCAGAATAGAAGGACATGCGCTCACTCCCTCTTGCAAAAGCACCAGAATCACAACTAAGTGCTGAACAATCATAGACAGGAGACACTGGAACTCACTAAAAAAGATACCCCAAAGACAAAGGAGAAGCCGCAATGAGATGGTAGGAGGGGTGCAATCACAATAAAATCAAATCCCATAACTGCTGGGTGGGTAACTCACAAACTGGAGAACACTTATATCACATAAGTCCACCCAATGGAGTGAAGGTTCTGAGCCCCACATCAGTTCCCAACCTGGGGATCCGGCAATGGGAGAAGGAATTCCTAGAGAATCAGACTTTGAAGCCTAGCGGGATTTGATTGCAGGAATTCGACAGGACTGGGGGAATCATAGAGACTCCACTCTTGGAGGGCACACACAAAGTAGTGTGTGCATCAGGGTCCAGGGGAAGGAGCAGTGACCGTATAGGAGACTGAACCAGACCTACCTGCTACTGTTGGAGGGTCTCCTGCAGAGGCGGGGAGTGGCTGTGGCTCACCATGGAGACAAGGACACTGGCAGCAGAACTTCTGGGAAGCACTCCTTGGCGTGAGCCCTCCCAGAGTCCACCATTAGCCCAACCAAAGAGCCGGGTAGGCTCCAGTGCTGGGTCGACTCAGGTCAAACAACCAACAGGGAGGGAACCCAGCCCCACCCATCAGTAGACAAGTGGATTAAAGTTTTACTGAGCTCTGCCCACCAGAGGAACAGCCAGCTCTACCCACCACCAGTCCTTCCCATCAGGAAGCCTGCACAAGCCTCTTAGATAGCCTCATCCACCAGAGGGAAGACAGCAGAAGCAAGAAGAACTACAATTCTGCAGCCTGTGGAAGGAAAACCACATTCACAGAAAGATAGACAAAATGAAAAGGCAGAGGACTTTGTACCAGATGAAGGAATAAGACAAAACCCCAGAAAAACAACTAAAAGAAGTGGAGATAGGCAACCTTCCAGAAAAAGAATTCAGAATAATGATAGTGAAGATGATCCAGGACCTCGGAAAAAGAATGGAGGCAAAGATCGAGAAGATGCAAGAAATGTTTAACAAACACCTAGAAGAATTAAAGAACAAACAAAGAGAGATGAACAATACAATAACTGAAATGAAAAATACACTAGAAGGAATCAATAGCAGAATAACTGAGGCAGAAGAATGGATAAGTGACCTAGAAGACAGAAATGGTGGAATTCACTGCTGTGGACCAGAATAAAGAAAAAGAATGAAAAGAAATGAAGACAGCCTAAGAGACCTCTGAGACAACATTAAACACAACAACATTTGCATTATAGGGGTCCCAGAAGGAGAAGGGAGAGAGAAAGGATCCGAGAAAATACTTGAAGAGATTATAGTCAAAAAATTCCCTAACATGGGAAAGGAAATAGCCACTCAAGTCCAGGAAGCGCAGAGAGTCCCAGGCAGGGTAAACCCAAGGAGAAACATGCCGAGACACATAATAATCAAATTGACAAAAATTAAAGACAAACAAAACTTATTGAAAGCAACAAGGGAAAAATGACAAATAACATACAAGGGAACTCCCATAAGGTTAACAGCTGATTTCTCAGCAGAAGCTCTACAAGCCAGAAGGGAGTGGCACGGTATATTTAAAGTGATGAAAGGGAATAAACTATAATGAAGATTACTCTACCTGGCAAGGATCTCATTCAGATTTGATGGAGAAATCAAAGGCTTTACAGACAAGCAAAAGCTAAGAGATTCAGCATCACCAAACCAGCTCTACAACAAAAGCTAAAGGAACTTCTCTAAGTGGGAAACACAATAGAAGAAAAGGAACTACAAAAAAGAACCCATATAGCACAGGGAGATTAGCTCGGTGCTTTGTGAACACCTAGAGGGGTGGGATAGTGAGGGTGGGAGGGAGACGCAAGAGGGAGGAGATACGGGGATATATGTATATGTATAGCTAATTCATTTTGTTACAAAGCAAACTAACACCATTGTAAAGCAATTTTACTCCAATAAAGATGTTAAAAAAAAACAAACCAATAACAATTAAGAAAATGGTAATAGGAACATACATATCGATAATTACCTTAAACGTGAATGCATTAAGTTCTCCAACCTAAAGACACAGGCTAGCTGAATGGATACAAAAACAAGACCCATATATATACTGTCTACAAGAGACCCACTTCAGACCTAGGGACAATTACAGACTGAAACTGAGGGGATGGAAAAAGATATTCCATGCAAATGGAAATCAAAAGAAAGCTGGAGTAGCAATACTCATATCAGATAAAATAGACTTTAAAATAAAGAATGTTACAAGAGACAAGGAAGGACACTACATAATGATCAAGGGATCAATCCAAGAAGAAGATATAACAATTATAAATATCTATGCACCCAACATAGGAGCACCACAATACACAAGGCAACTGCTAACAGCTATAAAAGAGGAAATCAACAGTAACACAATCATAGTGGGGGACTTTAACACCTCACTTACACTAATGGACAGATCATCCAGACAGAAAATTAATAAGGAAACACAAGCTTTAAATGACACAACAGACCAGATAAATTTAATTGATATTTACAGGACATTCCACCCAAAAACAGCAGATTACACTCTCTTCTCAACTGCACATGGAACATTCTGAAGGATAGATCACATCCTGGGTCACAAATCAAGCCTTGGTAAATTTAAGAAAACTGAAATCATATCAAGCATCTTTTCCGACCACAAAGCTATGAGATTAGAAATCAATTACAGGGAAAAAAAATGTAAAAAACACAAACACATGGAGGCTAAACAATATGCTACTAAATAACCAAGAGATCACTGAAGAAATCAAAGAGGAAATTTAAAAAATACCTAGAAACAAATGACAAGGATAACACGATGACCCAAAACTTACAGGATGCAGCAAAAGCAGTTCTAACAGGGAAGTTTATAGCAATACAATCCTACCTCAGGAAACAAGAAAAATCTCAAATAAACAACCTAAGCTTACACCTAAAGCAATTAGAGACAGAAGAACAAAAAACCCCTTAAGTTAGCAGAAGGAAAGAAATCATAAAGATCAGACCAGAAGTAAATTAAAAAGAAATGAAGGAAACAATAGTAAAGATCAATAAAACTAAAAGCTGGTTATTTGAGATGCTAAACAAAATTGATAAACCTTTAGCCAGACTCATCAAGAAAAAGGGAGAGGACTCAAATCAGTAGAATTAGAAATGAAAAAGGAGAAGTTACAACAGACACCGCAGAAATACAAAGCATCATAAGAGACTACTACAAGCAACTCTATGCCAGTAAAATGGACAACCTGGAAGAAATGGACAAATTCTTAGAAAGATATCACCTTCCAAGACTGAACCAGGAAGAAACAGAAAATATGAACAGACCAATCACAAGTAATGAAATTGAAACTGTGATTGAAAATCAACCAACAAAGAAAAGTCCAGGACCCGATGGCTTCACAGGCGAATTCTATCAAACATTTAGAGAAGAGCTAACACCCATCCTTCTCAAACTCTTCCAAAAAATTGCAGGAACACTCCCAAACTCATCCTATGAGGCCACCATCACCCCGATACCAAAACTAGACAAAAATGCTACAAAAAAAAAGAAAGTTACAGGCCAATATCACTCATGAATACAGATGCAAATATCCTCAACAAAATACTAGCAAACAGAATCCACAGCACATTAAAAGGATCATACACCATGATCAAGTGGGATTTATCCCAGGGATGCAAGGATTCTTCAATATATGTAAATCAATCAATGTGATACACCATATTAACAAACTGAAAAATAAAAACCATATGTTCATCTCAATAGATGCAGAAAAAGCTTCTGACAAAATTC